CCTGAGCCAGACACTTCTGGACTCCCCTGCTCAGAAATGTGGTCCAGTAGGTGAGGCAAGACCAGCACTAGATAAAGCTTCTGGCTTCATGGGTCTCCTTGGGCATTTTCTATTGCTACCACCTCCATCACTGATGTTTTCACAGTGACTGCTCTTGGCAACTCCAGGGTCGCAGGAGAACCCGTGTTCTGCAGGGAAAGTCCTGCGGATGGCCTCTCAGCCCAGGTGAGGGCTTCCAGGCCAAGGGAAGGGCAGTCAGCCTCTGTGTACCCTGCTCAGAGCAAACTCTCCGTGGAAGAGCTCAGCCTGCACCCCGGGCATCAAGACGTCATACCATGGCATCACGCTGTCGCTATGTTAACATCTGGAATGTCTCTCAAAGGCTCGGGTGTCCAGGGCTTGGTCCCCAGTGCACCACGTGCAGAGGTGAGGTTTTGGGGGAGCGATTCGACCTTGAGGGCTCTGACTTCATCATTAGGTTAAGCCACTGGTGGGTTGTGACAGCGGAGCATGGTAGGAGGAAGTGGGCCAGGGGGTCATGTCCTCAGGGACTCTTGTCCCCAGTCCCTCTCTCTTTCTCTGCCCCGTGGCTGCCCTAATCTGAGCAGCTTTATTCTGCCATGCCCTTCTGCATGATGCTTTGCCTCACCTTAGGCCCAGAAGAGTCGAGTCAGTTGACCTTAGGCTGAAAAATTAGAAACCGTGAGCCCAAACTTTCCTCCCCCCAAGTTGGTTTTCAAAGATATTTACCATAAGGAAAAAAAATATGTTTTATCTTTCATCTTCTCCCTGCAGAGCTCAGCGTCTGAAAAAGTTTCCCATCTGAAGCTGCAATCTCTGAGTCTCCTCTTGCCCTTCATCAGGAAGCCTGCAGATGGAAGAGCAGTGATCTCCCGGGCAGCGTGGACCCCTGGCATGCATAGCTCCGGAAGCCGGGACAGCCAGGGCCTGCTGTCTTCTGGGTCTCTTGCGTTTCTTCTTCTTGGTGCTGATTCTGCCCAGAGGCAGAGGGATGCAAGCTTCCTCCACACCCAGGCTTCTGTGCTACACATTTGGAGGCTAAGATTGGTCATAGCAGAGCTGTAAATTTTACTCCTTCCAGCACTTTCTTCAACCAGTCCCTCGGCCTGGTTTCTTTGCAGTTCCTGTTAGCATCTCTTTCCCACTCAACAGTAAATTCTTTGGAAAGGAAGCATGGTGGTGCTTGTTGATCTCTGTCAGCTGCTGCCTGTCAACAAGGATGAGACTAAGGATAAACTCGCTTTGTGAGTTTCTAGATAGGTGGCCTTTGCATTTCCAACTAAGTGTTCATTTTATGCAGTACTCCTCATGTAATTGCTGTTTGAGCAAAACAATTACTTGCAATAAGCTTCTTTTTTATTCTATCTCAGGAAAAAGGAACTCAGCCATGGCAAAAAGTCTACTGATAGATTCCTGCTTCTGTCTCCTTGGGAAACTAGATACTTGACAAAAAGTAAACTCTTTCTGTAATTCATGGACTCATTCCACCAGTATTTCTTGAGTGCTTGCTATGTGCCAGGCCTTGGTAAGCGCTTAGTGTCCAAAGAGAAAAGGCATCTGAGAAGCTTGTAGGCTAATGAGAAGCCATGTCACTGCATGTGACGGCAGGCAGGGCGTGTGCCTGGGGCATGGGGGAGACCCGCCTCCGCCCTGCAGGATGCCATCAGGGCTGCTCCCCAGTGAACCTCCTGCGTGTCAAGGCTGAGCAGCAGCAGATATGAGCTGCCAGGAAGAGTTTGGATCTTCTGATAACTTTTGGCCCAGGACCTGGAGGAAATCTCATCATCTGGTAGAGGAACCGCCTTTGGGGTCAGGCTCTGGGAGTCCTGACTGTCCCCTTCATTGGCGATGAGCTTTGTTCCTGGTTTCCCCATTGTAGACGCCTAGGCTCTGTGGAGCAGTGCAGAAGAGCCTGGCTCTGAAGGCCCTCAGGTCAGGTGCATGGAGCCAGCCCTCAATGCCACCTCCTGCCGCCTTTCTGATCTTGGGCACACCCTATGCCTTGCCTCATCATGGGGGAGACAGAATTCATAATGGAGCTTCACGGGACTGTTCTGAGCCATAAGTGAATTATCCTAGGCAGTGTTCTTAGATCAGGATCTGCCTTGCAGGACAGTCTCCCTAAGGGCCCTTGTAAGTGTGAAGCACAACACCGTGGCGGTAGTGGAAGAACACTTCCTTGTTATAAAGTGTGACTCCTGATGGTCGCTCGTCTTCTGCCTCCCTTACACTCTAAGAACAAGTAGTTGTCTCTCTGAATTGTGGAGAAGATGAAAGGACCTCAGTTCATACCTTTATCCCCCTACCCGCCTGGACATCCCCAATGTGCAAAGCCCCAGGGCCCCATGCTGAGAGGATCGCCATCAACACACATCTGTTGGACACTCCCAGAATCTGATGGGGCTCTGCTCCCTCTCCACCCCCTCCACTGCCGTTCCCTTTATCTTTTGCTCCAATCTCAAAGGTTTTAAATAGCCTCTTCCATGAAAGCCTCACTCTCTCCTTTCCAAATAACTTGGGTTGGGCTGCAGGGTCATCTGCGTGGTGAGACCATTTGCTTCCGTCCCGGGAGGACACTGTGGGCTGCTTGGCTCCCCCTACGGACTCCAGCAGGGTGGGACTGTGGGTTGTGTGCATGGGAGCTCTGGGTGGCAGCTGCTCCACTCCGTGCCCTGCCAAGGGAGCCTGTGTGGGTGGGACGAGGGCATGGAATAGCTGGAATCCAGGGGGCATGTGTCCTCCGGCTGCTGCTCTGCTCATGCCCCGGCCAGCCACCCTGTCCGCTGTGTGGGAGGCAGAGGGGCGGGTGCCGAGGGAGCTCATCACAGACCCTGCAGGAGTAGCACTCAAGAACAGCAGGACAGCGAAGCCACGACCCGCTGTTGAGGCCACTTCAGTGCCCACCCCTCAGACACACAGTTTACCACCTGGGCCGCCGAGGTGGTAAATGGCCTCTCTGCAGCAGACGGCAGGTAGACGTGGGGGAGGGGGTCTGCTCTCACAGTCCACGGGTCTTAAAATAAGTGGCTTCTTTCCCAGTGAATGCCAGACGCTCCCCCAGACAGCGTCAGGCTTCACGCGCCCCGTTCCTGGCACTTCCTCTCTGTGGCACCAAAACAGGTCAGAGAATCCTACAGGAGCTGGTACCGGGAGCGCCCACGGCCCACACCGCCAATGCCAGGCTTGCCGGTCCCTCTGGGATCTGCCTCAACACGCCATCCCCAGAGCGTTTCTGTAGACACTGTTACCTGACTCTGATTAGGTTTCTAAGTTTTTCTCAGCCTCTCACACAGAAAAACACAGTTTTTGAATCCACTAGGAGCAGAGAGACTTTAGTCACTGCCAGCTCCAGACAAGGTGGGTTTAGATTCCAGGCAACCGACATGACTGCTTCTGCCTCCTTCATGAAAACCAACTCTTCCCTCCGTCACAGAGCAGCTGCATACACGCCCCAAGTCTCCCAGAGCTGATTTGCAGAACTGTGGCCTTTCTGTCCTGGAAGGCCCTTGGAATCATCTAGTTAGAATTTCTCTTAACTTTTTCTGAGCTTAGATTGACTGTCTTTGCCCCAGTTCTTGGTTCAGCACCCAGAACTAACCCCTGGCTGGCGTAGTTCTGGTCCACCATGCTGCTGGCTGGTTCTGCAGCGTGGTGGCTCCCTGTGGTGTGCAGCTCCCGGCAGGGAACTGTGAGGAGCTGAGCCCTGAGGACAGGCTCCCAGCCCAGCTCCACCTCCTTGGAAGCACAAGCTCCACTGTCATTTGATTCTCTGCAGATGTTGGCTGGAGTTGGCTGCGGAGCCAATGCTCTGAACCTGAGGAGCCCAGGGACCATCTGGGAGAAGTGCGGCTCCACCCAGTTCTGGGCTTCCCCGTGGCGGGTGGGGGGCTGCCGTGAGCAACATCACGATGCTCCCCTCCCCATCCCTAATCTCGCCTCTCCCCAATCTCTGGGAAACAGGGCCGCCTTTCTCCCCCTCCTAGGGAAAGTTACCTGTTCCTGATCACACCCACCACAGCAGCGAAGTAACTCAGACTTGGGGATGGCTCCCGAAAACCTAAGAAATGACCGTCTCCCAAATTAACAAGTGCATTATGTCGCGGACAGAGAACGTCAGAATGTAGCCTTTGAGTCACCTCTTTAAAAGCTCCCTGTTTCCCCTGACGGGCAGAATCACAGCCCTGGGACAGGGGTGCCTGTGTTTCTCCTTTGCTAGCAAAACAATAAAATTTCTTTTTCCTTTTTCTCAGAACCGTGTCCTTGTTATTGAGTTGGCATTGGAGACTAGAACTGAGCTTTTGGTGACAACATACTTTGCGATGCTGGGCAGGGCTGGACTCTCCAGACACGAGGCACCTCAAGCTGTCCTCTCATCCACCCAAGAATGGGAAGGGACATGAGCACCTGTGGGCAGAGCAGGGCACCGCTACACAGGGGCGTCCACCCTTGAGTCTCAGGTGAGAATATTAGATAACTTGAACCATCTTAGGCCTGAAGATTTTTATCCCGTTCACAGAAAACGCAGGAGTACGCTGTTCCCAAGGTGTCATGCAGTCTGTGGTCGCAGGCCTCTTTGCTCACACCCAGGAACACCCAGAGCCAAGGCCACAAGATGATGCGAAACTAAAAGAGTGGCCCAGGCACAGCTGCCCCCGCAGGCTGGCACTTCCTTCTAGGAAGAGAGCAACTGCATTCTTGCTTAGTGTCCTCTGGGCCTTCCGGGGAGTGCCCTGGAGCTGCGACTGGAAATAGAAAATAACTGCCCTTTAATTGCTCTTGGTCCCTGGAAACTCCCCAGGCGTGGCCCCTCTAGGGGTGCCTTACAAGGTCTCTTGGCTTTCAGGGAAGAAACTCCAAGCGGTGGCTGCTGCAGGCAGAGCCTCTCCGTCTCCTTCCTTGGCACATTCCCTCTCCTCCGCTCCTTTCTTCTTCCAAACCTTCTTCCTTCCATCTCAGTGGAGAAGTGGAGGGAGTGTGGGGGTCCCTGGCTGGGAGTGCCTTTGCTTCAGCTCAGTGAGCAAGCTGAGGCTGGAAACTCTCAGCTCAGGAGGGCCGGCTTCCTTCCTGCACACTCCCCCTCCCCGCATCCCTGGAGTGGGGGGCCGTGGCCATGTTCTTCTCCACCCAGTGTCCCCAGCTGGTGGCTTCAGGGTTTTAGGTTTCTGTGACAAGTGGAACAAAGAAGCTCAGCCACAGCCGTGGACCTGGAGGTCCGGGTGGTAAGGTCCGCTGCCCTCACCTCCCACACAGGGCCCAGGCCTCCTTCCCTGCCTGCCCCATCCTCACCCTCACCAGGGAGAGCAGGGCCCTAGCTCCTAGGCCCCCTGGCTGGACACGCTGCCATCCTCAAACCGTCTTCTCTTGTCTGACTGTGAGGAGATGTGCCGGGGAGCCCGTGTCCAGACACCCCGTCCCCCAGGGCGGCTCCTCCTGCCTGCGAGGGCCCTGGGAGTCCAGCCTGTGGCCCTCACCCACTGCCCCTGTCACATTCCCACTGCCCCAAGCCCAGTTCCTCAGGCCCCAATCTGAGCAGCCTGGACGGGCTCTGGTGTGAGTGGCCATGCATCTAGGGGAAGGGGTCCTCTCACACACTTGTCCTCCAAGACTGGGCCCGAGTTGTCTGTCTGTCTGTTGTCTGTCTCTCTTTCCAGTGGTGTGTTCATAAGACTGTACGAATGCAATCATTTTCCAGGATTGCTGGAGTTGGCAAGGGCCTGGGCTACTGTGCCTGGCCTGAGTGGGGTCCCCCAGGCTGTCAGTGCTTGAACCCCAATACCAGCCAGTCAGCTTTTTTGTTGTTGTGGTTGTTTTCAGAATAGCTCTGACACTCTGGTCCCACTCTGCCCTTAAGCAGATGCTGGTTGACCTTGTTCTGATTCTGCCGTGTGGGAGAGGAGCTCTTCGCTGTCAGATGCACCTTAGTCCAGCCTTCAGGCATCCAGTAGTTTTGTGACCATGGCGAGACACGTGACCTTGCTGACACCTGGGTTCCTAAACCTGAAAACGCAGTCACTGAGTGACAGTATGCCAGCTGTGTGAGTGACATACACTGACACGCAGTGTGCCCACACCTACGTGGAGTCCTAGGATAACCAAGTGCCCGCTGTCCTTTCCTGTCCACAGTGGGCTGCATTCGAGTCTATAGGTAGAGAATCCTGCTCAGCCGCATAAGGACCCTTTTGAATTTGAACCAGCCGCTGGGCTTCCTAACTACAAAAGTGCGTGTAGAGACCATCGGGAGGGAGGGTCACCATGACCCTGGGCAGGAGCAGCGAGGGGCCTCAGCACAGTGACTTTGGGATGAGGTGCATCCTGCAAGGTGGCCCAGTGCTCATGGGAACCTGTGAGGCTTTCAACGAGCAGTTCAGTTTGGTCCTCTGTGGCTGATGAAGTCAGGCAGGGAAAGCCACCAAACTCCGAGGGAGCACGGTGTGGAGAAAAGCCGGCTGCGGAAGCGAGGGCTGACCCAGGCTCCAGGTCAGTAGAGGGACCACCTCCCGAGATCCCAGCGTTGCCAAGTTCCGTGTGCTGGGGTTGCTGGAAGAGGAATCCCAGCAGTGCTCCGCGGCCTGGGCTCCTGCAGGACTTGCCAGGACAGTCCCTGGGGTTGCTGGGACAATCCCACAGGAAGAGGCCTCTTTGTAGTCGCTGCACTTCTGTCCAAGCTGCTGCCCAACCTGCCCTCCCCTGTCACAGGGCCTCCCCCACCTACAGCTGAAAAGTACCACCTCTGGTCGTCATGGGCCTAGCACCTGGCATAAGGCCTCCCACGTGGACGCCTTGGTGGAGAGGTGGCCCGGCGAGGGACTCCAGTGGCATGCCCTGTCCAGGGAGGCAAGGCCTTTGTGGACCCTCAGCTGCAGAGTTACAGAGACATGGCACCAATTCCCCAGGACCACGGGCCACAAACCTGTCTGCCATGCTGTTGTGTCAAAGCATCCCGGATTGTGTGGGCCCCTTATGGCCCCCTGCCAGTAAAGCCCTCACTAGGCCCCCCGGCCCCGTCTTTCCTGTTCTGTGCTCCCTGCCTGCTTCCCACAGGGCTGCACACCGTCCTTGCACCTACCATGGAGACTCTTTTATAATAAGCTCATAAAGAAATATTTTTTAAAAAATAAAAGAAAAATGGATATCATAATAATGTAGCCATCACATGTTGTTAGGATTAAATGACGATGTAAATAGCAATAGTTAATATTCACATTAAATGTATTATTTGTATTGGTTATCTGTGAGCATATTCTAGGTGCCAAATATTCAAAACATTTACCCTGGGGAAAACACAGCAGGTGGAAAACCATTGAGTCTCTATGTTACACGTGACCAACTTGGGGAACAGAGAAGCTAAGGAACTTGCCCACCGAAGCAGAGCAAGCAAGCTTGCTTTTTCAGGCCAGAGAGCATCTACAGCTCTAGTACCTCTTTCAAAAGCCTCACCAGAGAAGTCAAGCCCAGCAGCAGAATCTCCCTTGACTAGCTTCAAGCCAACTAATGAGAAATTTTAGTTACATCTGCAAATTCTTGCAAGTAGAACCTAACACAGGAGTGAGAGCTGTCATCCAAAGATCCTGCCACTCCTCACATAGAGCAAGTGCACAGGGAGGCCGGGGATCACTGGTCAGTCAAGAATTGTGGCTACTGCAATTACCCATCTGGCCCGATAATTCTATTACTAAGAACTGAAGGCAAATGAAAGTCTATGTTCACAAAAGGATGAGCATATAAATGTTCATACTAACCTTCTTCTTCAGAATAAAGAACCTGGCATAAACCCATCCGCCTACAGGTGAATAGACCTGTACTGCGGTTGTCACACACCTCAGCAGTACAATAGGAACACCTACCTTGTGCTGCATACAGCCTAATGAATCTCTAAAGCATCATATTGAGTGCAAGAAGCCAGACACAAAACCAGGTACATATTACCATTCCATCACCATGAAGTTCTGCAAGAGGCGAAACCCATCTATTGTTCATAGTAACAGTGATAGAAGAAAGGTCATGGGGTGTCTGGGGCAGGGCTGGGTTGACTGCAAAGAGGCAAAAGGGGGCTTCCAGGGTGGTGCTGATGGTCTGATCTATACTCCTTTGAGGTGGTCTTTAATACATTGGCATGCCTTCCATCAAAACTCAGCAAGCTGTAGACTCAGTGCACCTAAGTGATATAGTCACGCTATAGTTTGCATCTGAAGTCTTCCCCCAAAGTCTCCTGTGCCCAGAGGTGAAGCTTTTAGGCAAAGACTGGATCATGAAGGCTCTGACCTCATCAGTGGATTAACTCATTTAATGGATTAATCCATTCATGGCTGAATAGACTACTAAGAGGTGGAAGTACTCAGAAAAATAGGTCACAGGGGGCAGGGAATAGCAGGGTTGGTCCTGTCCTTGTTGATTCCTCTCTCTCCTTCTGTGTGTGTGTGTGTGTGTGTGTGTGTGTGTGTGTGTGTGCTTCCTGGCTGCCACATCCAGAGCAGCTTTCCTCCACCATGCCTTCTGCTACCATGTTCTGCCTCTCCTCAGTCCCAGAGCAGTGGAGCAGCCAGCCATGGACTGGATCCTCTGACAACAAGAGCCAAAATAAATCTTTCCTCCTCTAAATTGCTTTTGTCAGGTATTTTAGACCCAGAGCCAAAAAATCAAACAAACAAACAAATAAAAAAAACCTCACTAACACGCTCAACAAAATCGACTTTTCTTTAAGGAAGGTGCTTCCACCAAAATACAAGAGAACACACATTTCTGAGCCAGATTGTCTTATAAAGCACCCAGAGCACGGCCCGCCTGTGAGGTTGGCTGTGGCATCTCACTGAAGGGCGCTGCCTGCAGCACTTGGAAGCGCACCTTCCCAGATCGCACCTGCCAGCCAGCCAGCCCCGCCAGCATCTGGCACCTGTGGCTGGCTTCATTTGTCTTACAGTTTCTGGATCTTCAAACCTCTTTACAATTGGCTCATTTTCTGCCCGAAGCTGCTGAGCGACCATGTGGTTCTTTTCTTTCTAAGAACAAGGAAAAACCTGAAAGGAAAAAGTAGCTTTAGCATTTGTAGAAAATGCACCCTGATGACATAGCAAGAGATCCAGGTTTGCTTACTGAAGTTCCTTCCTGTTTTCAAATTCTTCTCCCTCTCTGTCTCACACACACAAACACACCAACTTACTTCATTCTGTGTGCCTCCTTTACAGAGGGTGACTTGCTAGCAGGAAGGGTAGATGCCAATTCTGAAAATATGCTTGGAATAGTCAAAATCGT